ATTCAATTCCGATTGATTGTCTCCCTTTATCTGCCACACTTATATACAAGAATAGAGGGCACCTAGCAAATACTGGATTATTCGTGATGTTCACCGATCATTCTAGAATCTCATGACGTGTTACTAGCATCACGTGACTCTCACTGTCGTAACAATATTAAAATAAAGCATTTTTCTATGAATAATAATGTTAAAAACTATTTCTACATGACTTCATTCTAGTAGCAAAAATTGCTGTTTGATCACAGGTATAAATTATGACTATGAATCAAACTTATCAGTATAAATGTGTCCATAACATAGCATTTAAGGACAGCAAGGAACCTGTTGGTCCATCACAGCTTCAAAATATAATAGTAATAATAAAAACACCCTTAAAGTCAAACTTTTTTATCTAAATATTTATCAACCTTTTTTCAAATTTACTGCATCACCACACTTAAAGACAATTAGAGTGTAACAATAAACCAATACAGTGGTAAATCCAGTATTCCTTTGCCAATTCAATGTATCAATATAAAAACTGTTTCGATATTTCCCTATGTGTAAAAATGAAACCGTGTATGCTCTTGTTGACATGATTTTGGCAGGTCAATATCTCACGTTTTGATGCAGGAAGTTACAAATCTATTCCAAAATACTGAAAGTAACTTATTTTTCAGCTAGTCTCAGGTAAAAGTTAAGTTTTTATTGAATATTTCATGCTAATTATGGCTTTGAGACTATATATTGTTATTTCATAAGAGTCATGCACCTAAAGAAATGGTTGATGGGCCAAAAGTAATCTTAGAAAGCATTTTAAACTAAAAAAGATATTCATAGAGGGCTCTGATGATAAGTTTGCAAAATTACAAGTAAAGAAAGTTTCTAATATTTTGTAATATGATTTTTCTGGGCAGTACCCAACCCTAAAGGCAACATATTCCAAATGTCAACCACCCTCTTAGAAAAATGAAAATATCTTAGCTGAAGATGATTTCTATCCTTCCAACATTCATATTTATGTCCCCTTGACCTACCATTCTCACCACTAAGTATGAATAAAAAAGATGATGTACTGACACTGTCAATTCCCTTAACAATTATTGAATACCCAGTCTTTCTGCTAGGAAAAAATCATTGCCAGTTAATGCCTTGTTAATAATTATTTTACTAGTCACCATAAAAACAAAACGGCTTAATCTTAACTCTTAATAAACTTATAAACATACATGTATAACTAGAGAAAAAATTCCTTTAATCTATTTTGGTTGTTTATTAATGTAACAGCCATTATTTCCATATATAGCTATGTTGATGACATACACTGGACCTCCAGCTACGTGAATATTGTTTAATGTAATTGGTCCTATAACTTTCCTTTAACTTAATTTAAACAAATGCTTTAAGATCATTTTCTAACAGCTACCAGTGGAGGAATTACAATGTCTTGACATTTTTTATTGCCAGGAATTTATTATTTATTCGAAATTCATGTAAACTGAACAGTGGGCTGGAACATAACTATGTGGTATTGCTCTTTATACACATACTGATTATAAAAGGCAAGGTACATGTCATTGTCTTCAATGTCATTTGTTTTTCATGTGACTACAGTTTCTGCTAGTAAAGCAACATCTGGTTTGAATGTGGTACTTATTTTACAAATAAATCATCACCCATGTCATTTCAAATTTATCCAAAAATGTTTTTTAAAAGATACACTTTTCTTGATACAAACTTAGATGCAAAAACGTATCTAAATTTAAATTTTTTGATACACTAGCACATTAATCCCAAACCACTACAAGTAACATTACTATCTTCTTAATATCGTGCTTTGTGCTTTTGAAAGAAATATAGAACCCTATAGCCAAATACCTCTATACACATGACCTGCAAGCCTCAAATAAAAAAGAAAAAAGAAAAGAGGAATTTTATCAATATCAGAATGAGTGTCAGTTTCCATCTCTACATTCAACAGGCTTTTGAAACAACTTTTGACTGGTATTTACCAATTAGTGGAAATGCTGACACCTCAATCGGATCCCCTCTAACCCTTCTTTTTTTCAACAAAATATCAGACATTTCTTTCACAACACTATTAAGGCCCAAAACAAAATTATATTTACATAATTTAAATTATGATAACCCACATGCATTACCTTGTATTTATTATAACTAAAATCCATTTGCTATTTATTCACACAACTCACCAAATAATCCAATTCCTTTTGTAAAGCAGCAACATCCTCATCACACTCAGCACCAAATAAGATTTTAATATCATTAACAAATTTATTGAACATTCATTTAGGTCCTATATTGTAATGCTAAAAGTATAAGAAATGAAATAGATGACTTTAGAGAACTGGTCGGAACAAAGGATTTTGATATCCTTGGAATAATTAAAACCCGAATAAATGATAATCCACCCAATTCATAATTTTGGCACCAGAGGTCAAGGCTGATGATTAAGGCATTGTTTTAGTTTAACTTCAGTGTATGTAATAGAGGCAGCAACAGTTTCCTATTTCCAGAAAGTTCCATACCATGCTCCTTAAGACAAAGAACAAACTGTATCTGCACAAGTTTAAATTGCACAACATCAAGTCATAATGTGAGTAAACACACCAACACATCAAGTAAATATTCAGTATAACTATACAGAAGTGTTTTATTGCTAAGTTGTTGTACAGGTTGACTCTGCTGAAAATTTCACCACAAAAACTCAGAATGAATATTCAGTCTGCATATTGGGCTTAAAATCAGGTCACTCTGTTCACTGTATGTGCCTCGGAGCAGGAGGGGAGGGGACACATTCAATGGTGAGCTTCCGATTACCTGCAACACAACAAATATGCAGTAAATGTCTTTCTCACTGCCATCCTACAACATTTAGATTCAACTGTCCACCAGTTTCAGAAAGTATTTGTTTTTTCTGATGGTCCATCAAATCAGTTTGAACAGCGCTTCCTTCTCTCAAGCATCACACTGCTAAACAGAAATACAGAGTGGAATTTCTTTGCCACTTCTCATGAGGAAAGGTCCAGTAGATGGCATTGGAGGAACCACAAAAAGATTGGCCTCCTCAGAAGTGATGTCTGGCAAAGCAGAGGTAACAACATCCAATTAATTCGCTGAGGTTGCTGCCAAGAAATGCCAAAATATTCAGATAAAACGCATAAGCAAAGTTAAGGTTGATTCAGAAATAAAAAAAATTGGATGATGATTGGAATGAGATAACTCCCATCCCTAACCCAAAACTGGTACAGTCATTATGGTTGCACCATTTGTCATCAATGTGCAGCACCATGCAAATTCTCCTCCCACAAGGCACCATTTCAAAGGTGCTGATGGTGGTAAAGATGATGACCACAATGATGATGATGGTAAACAAGACCACACAGTGAAAAGGGATGTTACAGCCAACCCTCACAACAAACCAGAAACCTTGCCTAAATATCTTAA